CTGCAGCTCAGCCAACAGGGAGCCTCACCTTGTTCCCCTGCATCATGGTTTCACATATCCTACAGCTGTGCCATTCTCTTCAGACAGTCCAGCCTTCAGAGAATGTGGCATAGTAGGTGTGAGGTTTGAATATCCCCTCTACCCACTGAGATCCAGTTTCACTCCAGCCCAGCTCCATGCGTGGGACCCAGGAACATGCGTCCTGCTGCTCCCAATTGCGGAGCCCCTGACAAACTGAGATTAACTGTCACAGGCTCCACGATTGACCGGTTGACCAAGATAGACTGGTTGGTGACCACTGTGTTAGAGAATTTGACCAAGATCTGGACCCCATTGTTCTAAGCAATGTATAAGCTCATTTTAGGAGACACTCCTTGGGTCAAAGGTGTTACAATTTAAACCAGTGATTCTCCGCCTTTTTAGGTTCATGGAGTCCTTTCATAATGTCTCTAAATTGAGCAGCGTCCTATTTACCACCCCAGAAAGCACATGTGGTAGGAGGTTAATCTACTAAATCTAGTGCAAACAGGAGCACCCTCTCCTTTCAAGCAAGCCATAGCACTGCCACATGCTTCTGTTTTCAGGAAATACGTGAAGGGCTGACCAGACAGCGGCTGAGGCAGGAGTAGGTGCTCCTGCCTGCTCCAACCTAATGATTAGGTTCATCTGCACCCACTCCTATCACAGGTGCTTCCCCGGCACAGACTCTCACAGGACAGTTACATTTGGCTGTGGTGGCAGTGACACTGTGGCACCCTTAAAAGGATCTTGTAAGAACATAAGGACTACCATGTACTGGGTCAAACTGTAGGTTCATCTTGCCAAGTATTCTGTGTCCCACAGTGGCAGAGAGTGGATGCTGAAAGGGAGAGTGAACCGAGTATGACCAGGGTTTTTTCCACTGCTTCTCTCTCCAACATAGAACCTCAGTTTACAACTAGGCTGCATCTTGAGAGCAGATGTTTGTTTCCCCAGGAACAAGTAGCAGCGGCACATCTTGCACGACTGCTAGTTGTCCCCAGGGAACATCCATGCCACATGCACTCTGGCGTGTGGCAGCTTACCCTGGATGGGGTAGGGAGGCTGGGGCCAGCAACTATGCTGGCTCCAGTAGCCTTACCTGGGGTGCTGGAGGCCCCAGGGAGCTGTAGCTGTGGCTTCCTGCAGCAGGGAGCCTGGCTGGCAGGCAGAGTGTGGCTCCAGCCAGCTGGGCTCTGGTTTTGGACAGCGTGTGCTGCTGCTGTGTGCGCCACCCCGCTTTATTTTATTTATTTATTTATTTTGGAGATCCCAGGGTCAAAAAACACCCTCCATGCTGCAAGGTAGCAGCACGGGAAACACTTGTATGTGTGGTGCCGCAGGCGTCCACGCTTGTCTGGATGTGGCTCCACAGTCCAATTATATCCAAACAATAACATTAAACAAAGGGCTTAGACAGTTGTTCAGTTTAACCAGGGAGAGTTCTGTGCTCTCAGGAAAAACCATGAGTATACAGAAGTTCGTAATTTTTCTCCTATAGTAAAAGCAACCACTCAGGGAGAGACATAATTTGGGAACAACCCAAGTGAAGTGCATCCCCAAACAATCTCTCTCAGGAGACAGAATGTCTGCATAGGTGGGCACTGTGCTTTGCTGCTTCTCCCTCCCCCTCCCCCTCCCCTTCCCATAGGAGAAGGGAGAGTATGTGTCAGCCCTAGCCAGGCAGGAGCAGAACACACCCTTTGAGTGCTTCAGGCTAGAGAAGCCCAGCACTTCTGGCTTGTTCCCTGCCTGAATCACCCTGCAGCACTTGAGTGCCAGGGCTGCAACACAGCAAAGGGAGGAGGAAGGCTGAATGACTCTGTGCACACCACAGACCCTACCCCTGACAATCCCTACCTGCATTCACTTAAAAAAAAAAAACCCAAACAAACAAACAAACAAACAAACAAACAAACAAGAAAACCTCTGCAAAGTTCTCCGGGCTGCATGATTTGGAGACCCCTGGCAGCCCAGCATCCATACTGCAGGCTCTTTGCTTCTCTATTTGAATGTCTGTACAAGTCAGTTTTTCTCTCAGGAAAACAAACCTGGGAGAGTTGTCCTGGATGGCCAAAGTGTAAAAGACAGGAAGTATTACCTCCATTTTATAAATGGGAAATAAACATAGAGTTTAAATGATTTATCCAAGATCACACAAGATTTTAGCAGAGTTGGGAATCCAAAATAGACAGTCTGGTGCCTTCCTCTTAAAAAAAAAAAGACGTCTGCATCTAAAAACAGGTATCTGCAAGATTACAATCCCATTTCCTGTGCTGATCACAGAACTTTAATGTAGATTCAATGTTTAGTGCATCATAAATGAGGGGAGAAAAAGTTCCTTTATGAAACTGTTGAATCAGGAGAGCAGGAATCAGGATTAAGCAGGAATGCAGGATTGGGCTAGAAGAAACCTCCTAGGTTATAAAGTACAGTCCCCTTTTAAAGACAGGCAACCACGTCACAATCCTATTCATGAACTTATCAAGCGCCGAACTGAAATTAGGTTGGGTTTTTTTTTTAGCCCCACTGGTCCTCAGGTCCTGTTAAGACAGAATCTCCAAATCTCTGAATCAGCCAGGCCCACCCCCCGCCCACTCTCCCAGCCCAGCAATGGCTGCCCTGCCTGCCCCAGCTCCCGGCTCTTTGGAAAAAAAGAGCCTTGGCTCAGGGGGTACTGCTGGGCGGGGGGATGATCCTTGCTGCCTCCCCACTGCATGGGGGGCTCTTGCCCCCCACTGCATGGGTATCCCTCTCTTGATCTCCCAGCACCCCCACAGGAGCCCTGCCCGGGCCAGCTCCAGCCCTTTAAGAAAAGAAAAAAAAACAATTAAAGCCCCAGGACTGACCGTTCCTGCCAGCAGGGGGTGGTCCCTGCTCTCCTGCGCCATGTGGGGGGCTCTGCACAAGCCCCCCAAAGCCCCAAGGCCGCTGCAGGAGCAGAGAGTCCCAGGGTTTTTCTTGGGTTTTTTTTTCTTAAAGGGCCAGAGCTGGCCTGGGCCAAGCACCCGCAGGGGCGGGATCGTGCAGAGCCCCCCATGCAGCATGGGACCCTGGGGGGGCAGCAGGGATCACTCCCCACAGCCGGGCAGCACCGGGCTGCCTGAGTCAGAACTCAAACGACTTTCACAGAGATGGCAAAAGGCAATTTTCTTCTCCTTGGCGAAATTTTAAATGCTTGTTCAAAACCCTAGAGGCTATTAAAAAGAAAGTGAAACTTTTCTAAATTTTAGTAAATGTCTTATTTTTTAAGATAGCCTCATCCTTCAAAAACAAATGAAATATTTTTGTGAAAGCTGATTTGAGGCAGAGACCAAAAATGGGAAGACTCATCCTGAATGTTTACAATCTACCAAAACTATATGAGACATAAGAACAGGGCATTATAATGGAAAGTCACCAGAAACCTTAAGAGAAGGGTAACTATTGGTCCCCTACTATGCACACTCTCCAAATATAAACAGAACATACAACCACGCTTACATAAAAGAATTTAGTTTACCTGTCTGAAACAATGTGGAGGAGCAGCTACTGATCCAGTCTCTTTCAAGTAGTCATCCCAATTAAACTGTTCTGAAAAAGAAAAGAAAAAAAAGTCAGACAGCTTTTAAAGGAATAGTTTAGCAAACTTTTTGGGAAAAGCAACAATTTTTTAAATGCTAATCCTTGCTTTTTAAGTTGTAAAAAAAGGAAATTCTTCATTTGTGAAAGATACGAGTTTGACACACCTTCAGATGATTTTGAAATTCTAGTAATTCACAGGAAAGACACCCTACAGGCAGATTCAAAACAAAGCTCACACATATTTCCTCCTTAGTGAGGAAAGATGATTCAGTAGTTAGGGGACACTAGAGGCCTGCATTCAGTTCCCTGCTCCACCACAAACCTCTCGGTGGTCTTTTACAAGTCACTTTAGTCTCTCTGTGCTTCAGTTTCAAGCCTGTACTACAAGAATAGCAGCACACAATACCTCAGAGGAGTGTTATGAGGGTAAATATGTTAGGAACCATAAGATACTCACATATTACAGTTATGGGTCCAGGTAAGGTTCCTAACATTGTCTTCAGAATAATCAGCAAATATCTCAAGTCTACTAAGAATCAGGAGTGCAAATGCAATCTGTGAACATGATCCCAAGGACTTGTCACTGCCTTAGCTGCACCTGGTATTGCCTTAAGCAGCACATCCACACCCTCATTCACAATTTTAATGCACCGCAGTACTACTGTCAGGCTGTTACAATCTCAGGCCTGCTTCTTGTTATTGTGCTTGAGGCCATTCTAAGGCAGCTCTACTGCCTCATTTCCAGGGAATGACGTGCCAAGCAGAAACATGTTGGCAGTATGTGCTTTACACCCGCAGTCTCAAGCACAGCATACAGGCAATGTGGACTTACCCCGAATCCAAGCCAGAAAAATAAGTTCTATGTTTGCTATAAATGAAACTGCCTCTCAGGGGAAAAAAAGTAAGCATTTTGCCTTAAAGCTTAGCAACAGAATCAAGCAACTGCTTATGTAGCACCAGTCATTTCAAATTCTTTGCAAAGTTCAAATTGATTTATTTTTTTTACATTTGATTCGCTTAAAGGCCTAGAAAAACCTGAAGCTAACAGATGGATCAATACAAGATGCTACATAGCCAAAGATATAAATAAGCAATGCATAGATACAACACATTAAGAAGCCAAGAACTGTAATTATACAACCGACATATTGCTTCTACAATGGAACTGTCTCGAAATTTTTAACAAATCTATTCATTTTTCCTGGTTTTATAACTGCTATGTTTCCTACGGCCTCCCCAAAAATGATATTCTAAATGAGAAAACTAAAATGGTGTAATGATGCCACCTAGTGGATCAACCAACCTGTAATTTTCAAAGTGTCTGGAATTTGGGAGACTTTGAAAAAGAGGCTTGGATAGATTACAAAACTAATGGAAAAATCAGCTCACAGTAAATGATTCAATACGAAATATTTGTTTCATTTTATAGTGCCCTCAGTTCAAGGAACAGAATGTTCATCTACATTACGAGAAAACAAAATCATGTTATGCAATAAATATATCATTGCTCCCCACACATACACTGTCCCTCCAGGAAAGTAATCTTTACACAGAGAAATGAGCAACTAAAAGGACTATGAGGGCACAAGAATAAATTAGTATAAACTGGCCATGAATATAACTTACACTGAAAATTAGAAGGAGTTTTTCTATCATAGAAGTAATGTTTTAGAACACCTTCTGAGGAGAGTACTGCCCTTGAGCATGTGTAGATGAAACAAGGGGAATGTGTGCACAACAGTTTAAAGTGGGTTAAATGCTTTTGCACCACTTTAATGGCGCTGGTGTTTGCATGCATCAGCGGCATATCATGCATTAATTCCAGCCACTGTAGCACATTCAGCAGCGTATTGAGCCTTAAATGACTTTGGGGCACAGCAAACTAAAACACCTCAGAGGAGTTTTAGTTTGCTGCCCTACAGCCATGGAGTGAAGCACCGGGCTCCGTGAGGCTCAGGGGCTGTGCAGGCAGCCCGCGCAAGCAGTCTGGCAGCAGCTTAGGGAGGCAGAGTCCATGAAAGAAAAAAAAAAAAGTAGCAGTGACCCTGATTTCCCCACACACCACTCCTGGAGCCTGCTTGCCTGCATGAGCTGTGTAGGAACACAGTCCTTGCCTCCACAGCTGCGGTGCACTCGGGGACCACCCAAGCCAGGTGCCTGCAGGTGGGTGCCTCTTGGGGGGGTGGGGGCACTGTTGCCCTGGAAACCTAGGTCAGCGGTTCTCAACCTTTTTAGACACAAAGCATCCCTTCATTTGACCTGAAACAGCTCTCCATGACTCCTGTGACCTGTGCAGCACCCCATTTAAAACACTAGTTTATATATTACAGTGCTTATCACCTTGCAGAGGAGCCAGAAGTGAGGGAAGAACAGTGGCCAGCAAGGGAGAAACCTGAGCCTGCACTTATCTCCTCACGTCTCATGGCACCCTTCAAAAAATCTCCAAGCACCCCACAGTGCCCTAAAACTTTAGTTACGAATCACTGCCCTAGGTCCATTTCCCTACAGTTTTACATTTCCCTTGACCCATGGCTATGTCTTTGATCTGAAAACCAAGTTCTTTGGTTTAGGTTGCCATTATTTCTCAAAGGTCCTCTCTCATTTCTTCTGTAGAAGGTAGGTCCACTTTCTTTTGGGGGCTGCCATGACTCTGGAAGACAGGCTTTTCGTAACATACTGGAATCTATATCTCTTACCTTTAACACTGCATGAAGAGTCTGTCTCTTCCCAAATCCCTCTCTTAAAAGAAAGGACAACTCTACCAGTTACCCCGCTCCCACTAAGATTGAAAACAAGCTGTCCTCAAGTTTTAGCAGCAATCTGTATCATTGACAGACCTAACTGCCGACTTTGGTAACCCATACATACCCAAATCATCCTCTGGTTGCTCCTAAAGAAAACACCAGACTGAACTAAACTGAGACTTGTGTCCAAACCTACAACTTCTCTTCGGGTTCAAAGTTTCTTTGGAATACTGGTGCATTTAAGTAGGCAGCCTCAACAGAGCCTGACTCATGGTTGAAAAGGTACTCCCTTTTCTCCTGAGGCAACCTCTGTGGTTTGCTAAATCTCTTCAACCTGTAAATTGTCCCTCCTTTCTTTGCAAACTACTGGGACAATTGTGCTTTTAAGCATCATCTGGATTTAATTTCAACTTTGCTTGATGTGGAGATTGCCTCACCTACACTTGCACTTGGGGTAGTTAAAATACCAACTATTTACCCCCCCCGCAACAAATATCTCCCTGCCTTTATTTCTTATGCTTACTCTTCTGCTTTCCAAATATCCTCCCCATCATTTAGTTGCAGTTCTTCTTTTATCACAGGCTTTACCACCTCTCTCTCATCTCTCCTTCAGCTTTTCTACTCTCCATTTTTCCTACCTGCACCTCCATGTTTCAGCCTCTCTCCAGCACTCTGACCTCAGACAAGTAGCCTTTGATCCCATGTTGGTTACTCAAGTAGCGAGTGGGCTAGCTAAAGTATTATGACAAAGGCAAGGGCAGGCCGTGCAATAAATCCTTATCCATCTAGCACTCCAGAGAAGCTGAGTTGAAGGTTTCTGAAGCACAGTGAATTCCACTACAGCTGTTTCTTGGTCCAAAGACAGGCAAATTTTACAACAGGTATCAAACTGTTGATTCTGTTCTCATATGTAAGTCAGCTGTTTTCTTGTAAATGCTTGAGAGAAAGCTAGGGTGCAGCTGCATCTGACACCAGATGTCAGAGCAATATTTTCAAGCACAGACATGGTATTTGAGTTCCTAAGCATGACTGGAGTATCTCTGCCTAAGACAGGAAAGCAACTGGAACACTAATTGAAGAAGTATTTCCTCTGCTGCTAGGCATATAATGAAAAGAAAGAGCAACAGACAAGAAATGCAGAGATCCCTACCGACAGTCAGAAATAGAGGAAGAACCCCCCCATCCCCAACAGCTCAGGGATAGGAAAAGATTGGAAGTGTATAAGAAATGGAGTTGTGGAACTTGTTGCAGAGGACTTCCTGGAGGCCAATAGTATAACCAGATTCAAAAAGAAGTTATACAGTTTTATGGATGGCAGGTTTATTAGGGGATATTAAAACAACAGCCAAGGAGGTGCCCTCAGGCTCAGAACATCCCTAAAACTCTGAAGGCCAGTTACTGGGAGGATATAAAAAAGGATAATGTCCACACATCCTGCCCTTTATACTTTCCTACAGCATCTGCGAAGTGCCGCTGTCTGAGACTGCCTATTTGCTATATAAAGATGGTGGGCCTAGGCCTACCAGGAAACTATAAGTCTCCCTCAAATAGAAGGAGACCACTAAATGCATAGCAGCCAAACACTTGGAACAGAAGATGAAAAAAGCAGCAAGAGGAGTGCAAGTCATAGGCTAATACAGTTCCAAGGGGGAACACCGATCAGAAAACACTGGCTAGTGCCCACTGTCCCTTCACCTATCCAAGGAGCTTGTGGATGCTATCCAGTGAAGCTCTCTGCCTGAAGACATTCGTTGGCAGGGCTAACCGGACCTTGTCATGCATCCACAGGTGCATCTCGAGTAGAGCCAAGGAGGTGATCCTCCCCCTCTACGCAACGCTGGTCAGGCCACAGCTGGAGTATTGTGTCCAGTTCTGTGCGCCCCATTTCAAGAGGGATGTGGACAACATGGAGAGGGTCCAGAGGAGGGCCACCCGCATGATCCGGGGACAACAGGGCAGACCCTACAGTGAGAGACTGCGGGACCTGAACCTATTCAGCCTCCACAAGAGAAGGCTGAGGGGGGACCTGGTGACCGTCTATAAACTCACTAGGGGGGACCAGAAGGGTTTGGGGGAGACGCTGTTTCCCCTAGCGCCCACTGGCATAACAAGGAGCAATGGGCACAAGTTGATGGAGAGGAGGTATAGATTGGACATCCGCAAAAACTACTTCACAGTTAGGGCGGCTAGGAGCTGGAACCAACTTCCAAGGGAAGTGGTGCTGGCCCCTACCCTGGGGGTCTTTAAGAAGAGGCTGGATGCCTACCTGGCTGGACTCATTTGAGTCCCGTTTCTCTTTTTGGGGTTTTTTGTTGTTCTCCCACCCTGGCGGGGGGTCGGGCTAGAAGATCTACTAGGTCCCTTCCGACCCTTAATCTATGAATCTATGAATTTATGAATCTATGAATCTATGACCAAGAGGAAGACAACCCCACAGTCACCCAGATTCTCTCTGAGACAGTATAATGGGCTAGACGGCCTTTTGGTCTGATCCAATATAGCAATTGTTATGTTCCTGTGAAGTTGTAGAGAGCAGAGTGGTTGTAGAATAATGCCCTGACAGCACTGTAGTATTTCAGTTGTAAAGGGTGATGATATAGAATCATAGAAAACTAAAGTTGGAAGGGACCTCAGGAGGTCATCTAGTCCAGCCCCTGCTCAAACCAGACCATTCCAGCCAGGCCTTTGTTGAGCCAGGCCTTAAAAACCTCCAAGGATGGAGATTCCACCACCTCTCTAGGTAACCCATTCCAATGCTTTACCACCTCCCAGTGAGAAAGTTTTTCCTAATATCTAATCTAAACTTCCCTTGCTGCAACTTAAGACCATTGCTCCTTGTTCTGTCATCTGCCACCACTGAGAACAGTCTAGCTCCATCCTCTTTGGAACTACACTTCAAGTAGTTAAAGGCTGCTATCAAATCCCCTCTCAGTCTTATCTTATCCAGACTAAGTAAGCCCAGTTCCCTCAGCCTTATCAGAAGTCATGTGCCCCAGCCCCCTAACCATGTTCACTGGACTCTATCTTGTCCACATCCTATAGTAAGGGGTCCAAAACTGGACACAGTACTCCAGTTGTGGCCTCACCAGTGCAGAGTAGAGGGGAATAATCATGAGGTCAGCATTAACAGAGGGCAGGGGATCTCCCTCACCCGGACCACCCTGTCCCGTGGTGCACATGGGCATCCCATGGGACTGATGAAAGACTGACACAAAGTACCCATTTAACAGGTTGGCTTTTTCCTGGGCGTCAATTGTCATTTGCCCCATCTGGTTCAGCAGGGGTCCAATGTTGCCCTTGCTTTTCCTCTGGCTCCCCACATATCTGAAAAAGCACTTTTTATTGTCCTTGATGCTCGAAGCTAGTTGGAGTTCAGTTGCAGCCTTAGCTTTCCTGGTTTGCTCCCTGCAGGACTGGACCAGTGCAGAATAATCCTCCTTGGAGGTGAATCCCATCCTACATCCTTTGTACACCTTTCTTTTTAGCCTCAGGAGGTCTGCTAAATCCCTGGAGAGCCAGGGGAGCTGCTGTGCCCTCTTGCTGCCCTTCCTCTGGGTTATTCTGGAAGTAGCCAACCAGTATATCTCCTGGTTCCACCCCTCATAGAATTAAGGGAGGCAAAATCCCGCAAGCTATATGCATTTATTATTTTAGAGTCTCACTCTCTTATAAAGAAGATCCATGAGTGACTTTTCTGAATGTCTGTAAATCTCTGTGCATGTGCAAGGCACTCAAAATATACCTGGAATAGAATTAGCTTGTGCATTGAGGACTGCTCCCTTGAGGAGCAACCACTCTTCTTGAACATGACCCTGGAGTTGTGGTCCCTTAGGGCCTCACTAACAAGCCTCCTGAGCTTGTCAAAGTCAGCTTCCCTGAAGTCAAGGACTTTGGTGTTGCTGACTGACTTGACAGCTTTACGGCAGATGGTGAAGGCGATCAGCTCGTGGTCGCTGTCACCCAGCTTCCCATCGATCACTAGGTCGCCGATTAAGTCATCCCAGTAGCCAGTACCAGGTCGAGCAGCATTTTACCTCTCGTTGGCCCACAGATTTCTTGAGTCAGGTAGAGGTCATCCACGTACGAGAGGAAGCTTTGTGACTGCTCGGATTTTGCCGAGTGATCCTCCCACGAGATGTTTGGGTAACTGAAGTCACCCATGACAACCACAGTCCTGGAGCATGCAGCCTCAGCCAGTTCCCGGGCGAACTCCTGGTCAAGCTCTTGACTTTGGGTGGGATGTCTGTAGTAGACTCCCACCATTGTGTCCCCTGTGCCATGTTCCTCACGAATTTTAACCCAAAGGGTCTCTAGTTGTCCACCCTGGTTGCCAACATCAGCTTGCAGGGACATGTAGCTTTCCTTAACATAGAGAGCTACACCCCTATATCTCAAGTACTGTTACAGCACAGACATCTAACATGTCAGGAGTTGTTCCAAAGGCTATATTATGGACTCATTTTATTATAAAAGTTCTTCCCAACAAGTTATGAGCGCCTGTGAAATGATCCATCTCTAATTTCAAACATACTATCAAAAGTAGTGGTCAAGATGCTGACCTCGTGAAGGAACACCTTGAGAGGCTGGATACCTTCAAGTCAGCCAGCCCTGACAATCTACACCCCAGGGTACTCAAGGAGCTGGCAAGCATCATAGCCCAGGCTCTGGCACGAACCTTTGAAAACTCCTGGCACTCTGGTCTAGTGCCCAAAGACTGGAAGAAAGCCAATGTAGTGCCCATCTTCAAGAAAGGGAGGAAAGTGGATCCGGCAAACTATAGGCCCATCAGCCTGACTTCTATCCCGGGGAAGGTCTTAGAAATGTTTATTAAAGAGGCCATCCTTAATGGACTGACCAACGCCAACATCCTGAGGGATAGCCGGCACGGGTTTGTTGCAGACTGGTCAAGCAAGACCTATCTCATTTCCTTTTACGACCAGGTGACCTATGACCTGGACAAGGGAGAAGAGATTGATGTCATATATCTTGACTTCAAAAAAAGCCTTCGATCTAGTATCCCATGATCACCTCTTGGCAAAACAGGCCAGTTGTGGCCTTGGGTCCAGCACGATCCGCTGGCTGGGAAATTGGCTCCGTGGTCAGACCCTCC